GAAAGACTGACTGAATATGGTGATTCAAGCTGAGAAGAAAAGAAACAAAGACAGAGAAGAGCAGCAGAGAAGGGATGGACCTGGAGCCTGTGGAAAGGTTATCTAGCTGTGCTACTTTGGTTCAATTTGTGTGGGAGAAGACAACTGATACAATTAGGTTATCCAGCCGACAAGCTGGAAGGGAGTCCTGGACAAACACCCAGGAGGTGCAGGCCAGTGCACGTTTGTGGGTGTCCCTGATGTCACATGAACTGCATCACTTCTCCAGGAGATGTAGAAGCAGCCGAGTCAGATGACAAGCAGCCAGCCTGGGGTTGCTACGTACCCAGAGCAAGATCTACTGCAGGCCTTGTCCTCAGACAAGCAGGCACACTCATATCCAGACGCATCCTCGACTTGGACATACGGGCACATGGGCATGAGGGGCTTACCAGTGCCAAGGTCGTCTCCTCAAAGTGCTTTGAAGAGGAGCAGGGCAGGCACGGATAGAGGTTGCTCCTCTCAGGACTGTCACAGTCCTATAACTTCCTAGACTGCTGTATACATGCTCAAAAAGAAAACAAAAAGCTGTACCTATTCCCCTGACTCCCCCTAAACCTCGCTGCAGGGAATATGCTCCAAGCACTGGTGCCCACCACAGAAACCAATTCACCAACCCTTCCTCTGTCATCCTGACCCCAAACAGCCCCCATCCCTCTGTGGAGCTTACCCAGTGCTAACATTTTGCCCTGCTGCTCAGACCACCTCTCTGATTAGCTTTGTTCTAACATCGCTGTTAACCTTTTGGATCCACTAAATCCAAAGTAGTGTGTTGGACAAGCCAAATAGGAGAAACTAGTAAATCTCCCTTCCTTGGAGAGCCTGCTCAGGCTGTATTTCACCTAATTAAAACAGGGTAAGTCGCAGTTCCATGCACACAGGCACAGGTAACAGAGTGCATTACCTGCTAAAATCAGGCAGGAGCATGAGATGCTGTGAATTAGAAGAGGAAAGAAGCTCGGAGTTTGCTCTGTAGACAGCTGTCAGCTCCTTGGACCCACCAGCTCTGCTTTGGCCACAGACAGACTACAATCTACCAGCTGTGTCAAACATCCCGTTTCCCCAAGTGTGCGGAGCTCAGAGAAAAGAGGATCCAGACAGTGCTTTATCTTGGTGACAACTTTGTTTTCTGAAATCAGCTGGGAATGACATGTTCAGCTATTGCCAAAAAAGATCACCAACAGCTATTGGCATCATCAGCCCTCGGTTATGTAGTTTCCCAAGTGGCACAAGGGATGACAGATTCATATTAATTCCAGTCAGCAAATGGATTATAAATACTCCCCCAGCCAGTTGCCACCTGATAGGACTGTCCTTGAGTCCTCCAATTGTGGAAGAGAGTTGTCAACTCTAAATTTACCCACCAGCATGTATTGTATAAAACATACTACTCTGTGATCCTTGGTAGACACTTGTGCTGTAGCCCAGCATGGATTAGGCCAGAAACTGCTAGTTCCACCAACCAGACAGACATCTCACTATTGCTTATCTCGAGACTTCGATGGCAGAAAGGAGAGAGGGATGGGTTTGACAGGATGCGTTGGTGTATCGGTCATGCAATTGCCACAGCAGTCCCAGCAAGTCTGAGTTAATAGAGTGATCCAAAGCTAGGCCTGCCTAACACCATTCTGGTGAGGTAACAGCTTCTGTTCCTAAGGATGGCCTTTCCCATCTGAAAAATGTACCACCATGACTGATATAAGTAAACTCACTCCAAGGATGGGGTGTCCAAAACCAGACAGAGCTGATACAAAGCAGACCGAGACAGTATTCCCTGTAAAAACCAGTAGGTAGGATGCTAGCGATTGTACAAATGGACTAGACACTTGAAGAACTGTAATTAGAAAGATTTAACTTTTACAAAACAGAGAGTAAACAAAAAGAAAGCAAGTGAGGAACTCCACATTTTTCTAGCTTTAGAATGGTCCTAGTGTCTGCAAATTGGGCAGAGGCACACGCTAGTGGCATCTGTCTGCCGTAGACGTGTCTCACCCCAAAAAAAAGGGTCTGCCTGAGTAGCAGGACCGATTGTAAACGATCAGGTCAGGGCACTTACCCAAAGCAAGCCTGTTTTTTTGCCTGTAGTTTGTTCATGCACAAAAGCTTTCCAAGCTCATCAGCTGGAGACAGCATCTCATCCCTGTTGCTCGACAGCCACAGACAAAATCTGCCCTCAGTTAGACAAAGACACAGGAGTTCCGTGGCTGCTGGGGGCTGCATGACACTTCGCTCCGCTTTGGGCTTTTTCTGATTTCATGCCCCAGGTTATTCTCTAGTGGTGCTCTTCAGCGCTCCGGAGGACACCCAGCCTCCCGCAAAAGCCTTCTGCTGACCATCGCAGCGCAGCCTGGGAACCCCCGTACCCCACACCCGGCGAGCCCTGGGGGTCCCCGGCGGGGCTTCGGGTCCCACAAGATGGCACTCGGCTGCAGCGTGAGGGACAGCAGCCCAGCGACCCACGGGCTGCTTCTGGACAGAGCAGGCTCTCCCACCTCATGGAGCCTGGAAAATTATTTCCATCGGTTTCACCTGCTGAGCACTTTTCAGGAGATGAGCCAAAGTGGTAACTGCCCGCTTCCTGGAAAACCTCGGGGGGAGAGCAAGGCTGCATCACAAAAATCCCAGGGATCTTTGCTTTGAGAAATTGTAGCACACCTCAGCATTTAGGAAAAGACTTGACCTTGTGCCTTTGTACCAGGAACAGGCTTTTTTGTCACCTACTGGAGAATCACCCTAAATGTAGCCCAGTTATACACGCTGCTAAACAGCAGTTTCTCCGTGCTTTCTACGTACTTGGAAGACTGTAGCATTTTTTAACATCAAAAACACTTTTAACTCATGCTGCAGCCATCTCACACGGGGTACTCCAAATCAATGGATGCTTTTAACCTCAAACTCTGCACCTTAAAGTCTTTCGTCAGCTGGGGTGAAGCTCCTGGATTATTTCCTCCCCACGTATGGGATAGGCAAAGGCAGAACAACTTGTACCTTCAAAGCACTTGGAACTGAAAAGCCCCATCTCTGCGGCTTAGCAGCTTGCTGCGGAACAAGGCCTGGAGCTCAGCAGGCAGGATAAAACTAAAGACTGAATGGCTGCTTGCTGCACAAGCACTGTGCATCCTGTGTGCTTTGTGAGACAGAGGCTTTAGGAAAAAAACAAGCTGAAATCCAAGCCCGAATGTACTGAACAGAGACTCGCATCCCGAGTGCCGAGTGCCTGATTTTGCAGCTTGCACAATGTGCCTTTTGCCTCGTTTTTGCTCCTGTGTGATACATACAAAAAGTAGTTCAGAGTGACTCCAGCCATACAACAGGCTTCTTCGAAAGGAGGTTTTACTCCAGGGCTGCTGGAGCTTATCATATAAAAGGACAGAGAGCCGACATCATTTACTCACACGAAAATGTAGAGCAGAAATCTGTATTGCAGGACATGTTGTCCTGCTGGAACTTCAATCCAGCTAATCCTAACCAGGCATTCTGAATAAACGTGGTGGGAATGAGAACAGGGGAGAGAGTCAACAAAGCAAGCGGATCTACTCTGTTTCCGTTGGATCTCCACCACGGAGTCACACCAGCAGTGGGGAGCCCGTTGCCTCCTCCTGCACAGCACCTGAAGTCCCAGCACTAACACAGCCGAGGATCAGTCTAGCAGAGGTTTCACGCCCCTGGTGAAACTTCAGTTCCCAAGACAGGAGATGCATTGTCCATTTCTGCTCCTTCTTGCAACAACTTCCATCACCTAAAGTGCGGAGCACTGCCTGAACGTGAACTACTGGATCAGGTTCATATTTTGTAAATATTATTGTTATTTTGTGAACGTTGGCATCAGTGAGAGCAAAGCTAGAGAGGCTGGAATATGACAATGGTTTTGAGCTTGGCTGTTATTTGTCCATTTTTTAAAAAGCGGGGAGAGAAAAGGAAAAGGATAGTTTAGAATTGTGGTTAAACATGTTTCTTTCTCTAGAGGCATTTAGGGTTTTGCCTTTGCTTTGTTTATTCTTCTTTGGGACTAAGTAAAGTCATATTTTTAAACATAGGACATCCCCCCTTTCTTTTTTAAATACTGAAATTCTAAGACTCACCCTAGACAGGGCTCAGGCTGCTCTGACTGCTTGAAGGCAAATGCATCTATCGGAGTGTTTTCTTGTGGCCTAAGAAAGTATTTATTTTTTCAGTCATTCCACGTGGATGTACCTTTGTTCACTTTCCAGGAGCATTTCAGTTTCTTTTTTTTTTTTTTTAAATTCACAATACGTAATAGAGTTCCTAGTTTGGGCCTCAGTTCTGTTATAATCCTTCAAGCACACGAGTGATCCTTGTAATTCAGATCTTTAAAATTTGGCCAGCGCTTCAGGATCTTACTGAATCAGCACTTACACATTTCCTTATTTCTCTTTTGGGGGTTTACTGTCTTTTTACTTTTCTTAAAAGCAGATGCATAATCCAGCTCCAACACACACAAAACCAAGGCACGTTTTTACCCAAGCATGTTTTGACAGCATGGGAGGTGAAGATCAGGACCCTGGC